TCATCAAGGGAACTTTATTTATGATGGACTTCCAGCCTCCTAATAAGGAATATATGCTATCAATTTATCTCAGAGCTCAGTACCTATGCCCTGTTTCTCATACACCATAGGGCATCACTGTCATCAGTCACAAAGGTTAACAAACTCATCAATATTGCAGTATAACTTGGTTGACACGAGTGGTTTGCAGCCTAGAGCCCCTTTTATAAATTTCCTTTCATCAGCCTCAGGTATCACTGTAATGGCAAAAACCAACCACAGGTGAATATAATTATTCCTGTTACCAGAGATGGAGGACACTGATCACTGGCATTTGGGGTCCCTGGTAGAATACTGCTGCCCAAATGGCTTTAGAAGAACTGCAACCTACAGTTTTGATAACCATTTGCAATTCACTGCATAGACCACAGCACTCTGGCAGTCATTTTATTTTTAGAATTTCATGCAGTTTCATGTAGTATAAAGTGTTCCCATCACTGCTCTCCAAAATGACATTTTCTAAAGAGAGAAGGGGGGAAAAAGAAAGATTCTGAAGACTGTCACTTATAGAGTATATCTGGGTAAATGTTTTAGACATATCAGTCAATACCTAGAAATTAAAATGATGAATAAAGGCCCACAATATTATGAAATGGAGGCTGTATTTAGAATAAATACATGGATCAATAAGGATAATCCACTTAAGGGGGATTGTCAGGTATTCCAGTCTGGGGGCTCCTTGCAAAATTTTGAAGAGGCAATGCCAACACTTAGTGAGCTGGGCATGCTCCCTCACCCTGCCATCTGCCCCAGCAGGTCTGGGGATACAAGTGGCTGTGTCCCTTCTACCCCTGGAACCAAAAACTGTTTATTTTTCCCTAGGACATTCCTGTTAGGAAGGAAATACCTTCTCATATTACAGAGAGGTGAGTGGCAGAGCTTTCTCTAAAAAAAAAAAATCTATATTAAACAGCGTTTACAATCACACAAGAGACCAGTGTGTAATCCCAAAGAGCCACGGATACAAGGTGGTGAACCAAATACATTAACAGGGCTCAAACAATTCCTCTGCCACTAAGGGTGCTCTGGCTCTGCAGCCTAGCTTCCCTGTGTAAGATGTGAGTGGGAAGGCGTTCTGGAGAACCACGCAGACCCGCCAGGGCTGCAGCACGCTGCGCTGTGGGAAACGGCAAGCATGATCGAGATTCATTCTCACTTTCACAGGAAGAAACAAAACCCATCAAAATCTGCTGGGGAGGGAGCATAAACATGTCACAACTTAGGATGCTGGAGCGGAAAGTGAAGAGTTGAGGAGCCGGGAGACAGGAGCCGACACCTCTGCACAGCCAGGGAGCCTCCAGATTGTAAGCATGTGGCTGGGTTGAGGAGGCGGTTCATTCACCAGTCGCCAGCTATGCAGACTTACGATGAAAGAAAGACACCTCTTCTCTGACTCTTCATTGCACCAGCACCTTCTCTTCCTAAGGACCTGGGTGGGAGTTGTCCTCTTCCCAGGTGATATCCCCCAGCCTCACTTGAAAGCTCACCACTATCTTTATTTATTGGGTGAGATGGCTGTTAGACACAGGCCTGTCTCTTCTAGGACTCACTGCATTCTAACTATCCGAGGCAGATTCTTTATTTAATTCTGCGGGAGCACTTGAATTTATGCCCCATTAAAGTTCCCTTTTGAAAATTACAAGCCGAAGCCACATCTAACAATTATGACGTTTTCTGGATCACACACACATCCTAAAAATGGAAAATTCATTTCATGGTCACAGAACCAATAAAAAATATGACTTAATTTAAAATGCTTCATTTTTTTTTTCTTTAAAAATAAATTAAATGATTTCAGGTGTTTATAAAAAATTTTATGTTTATAGTGTTTTATAAACACTGGACATACTCTGAAAAGATTCTCTTACATCATAAGAAATTACAGTTTAGACTGGGGACTAAAATCTTTTCTTTTCCTATGAAATCTGCATCAGTTTCAAATTTAACTCTAGTTGTTTTTCTTTTAGCACCAAGGTCAAGATTGGACTTCTTAATATTTATGTTCTTACTCCTCTTTCATCAGCCACTGAAAAAACAAGTGATGCTAATTTCCTACCTCTAGACTTGACTACGTAAATGATCCTGGGTGGGACCACCTTGGATGAGGACATCAGTCAGTCAACAAATATGAGGCCCACAACACGCCAGGGAGGACCAAGATTCAGTAGGAAAAGCTCACACTGTCATGTTCCTAATAAAGATCAAAGTCTCAACCTTCACATAACATCAACTACATAAGCTGGATTTCCATGCCATTAAAGGTATTACAGTGCTTGCTAGGAGGGGGTCCCTTTACTTTTTACCTGTCTTTTGGAGTCTCCATCAGGGGACCTCTGACATGAATACAAGGATTGAGGACCTTAGTTCTACCAAGAGTTCCCCAAATATTCCATGATCTCTAATGAATACAAGGATCTCTGTGCTTGTGCCTTAGGGTCCCTGGAAGATCCTAAAAGGAGCATGGGAAAGTCCAGACCTGCAGTTTCTGGGAGCCAGAGGTGGATTCTCTCTTGAGAAAACTTTGGAGAAGCGAAGGCTCTGTATGGACAGAGAAGCAGAGCACCTGGCATGAACTACTGCCCAACATTCAGGGCTGTCTATGTCCTGGCTCCAGCCTGTCAGTCACTGCTGCCCTTCATGCTCCCTATCCAAACTTATTCAACTCCATCTAATCTATCCAACCCTGTCCAAACTTATCCAACCCTTCCCAACCTTATCTAACTCTATCCAACCTTATCCAACCCTATCCAAACTTGCCCACCTTATCCAACCCTACCCAACCTTATCTAACCCTATTGGACCTAGCCAACACTATTCAACAGAACTTAATTCCCTCATGGGCTTAAGCATCCCAGCTCTCATACCCTTGCTCACTCTTTACTCGAAATGTTCTGCTTTCTCATCTCTCTGCTCTTTCAATCTATGTATATGCTCTAAACTCACTAAAATATCAGAATCCCCATGAAGGCTTCTTTATTTCATTTCCAATTACAAGTTTCTTTCTGTCCTCTGAATTCCCACACACACACACACTGTGTCCCTCTCTTTAAAAATTGTTTCTCTTTTAACCTGTATAACAGTCATCTCTTTTTGTCTGTTACCTTCTCCATAAAATTAAAAGGTCCCAGGGGCTCAGAGTCTAGGTTTTACTAGACTAGGTATTCCTAACATCTAATCAAGTAATTCCATGGTTTGGAAACTGGGTTCTGCACAGCCTAGGGGTCCAGAGAGCTGTCCCAAGACACCTGTGGGGGAAGAGAGTGGGTGGGGACACAAAAAAGACTGCCTTTTCTCAATCTGTGCTTAAGTCAGGTGGGTTTTAAGTTTAATTCTTATAATATATCGGGATTTATGTAACATTTTTTTTTTTAAAGATTTTGTTAGAGCTAGAATAAAAGAAACCACTGTAATAGATATTGTCAAATACATGAACAGAATTATACCTAGTGCCTCTAGTACTCCTCCCTTCAGATAAAATGAAATTCAGTGATCAAAAATGAGTAGTGGAGGTTCAGAGTGGCTGTCAGTCAAAAACATGATCAAAACAGAAGAGTCTTTTTCCTGTTTGTACTGAACCCCCTCTTTTGTGGGTGTTGAGAATTGAACCTGGGGTTCTTATGCCTGATAACCATGCATTCCACCACTGAGCTACACCCCCAGCCCCACCAAGCTCTGAGTTATGCTTAAGGTGTTTAGAATCACCTGGTTCCAGTGTGCACACCCCCATGCATTGATCTCAGTGCAGTTTCAGAGATACAGAAGAGTCATGAGGGATGCCAACACCTCCTGATTCCCCTTTGCCTCCAATCAATGTTCTCCTCTTTCAATCTTTCCTGTACTATACATGACAAGTATCAACTCTGTTGCTATGGTTAAGAATCTAGTATAGTTTAGATGTGGTGTCCCCCCAAAACTCACGTGTGAGATAATGCAAGTACTGGGTTATATTCTTAACCTAAAAAGTGAATTAATCCCTGTGGGATTAACTACATGGTAACTGCAGGCAGGTGGGGTGTGGCTGGTAGACGTGGTTCCGTGGGGGGCGTGGCTATGGGGTATATATTTTGTATCTGGAGAGTGGGGTCTCTCTCTCTCTCTCTGCTTTCTTATCATCATGTAAGCTGGTTCCCTCTGCCACACTCTCCCACCATGTTGTTCTGCCTCACCTTGAGCCACGAGGAATGGAGCCAGCCTTCTATGGACTAAGACCTCTGAAACCGTGAGCCCTCAAATAAACCTTTCCTCCTCTACAACTGTGCTGGTCGGGTCTTTTAGTCGCAGCAGAGAAAAAGCTGACTACAATAGAAGCTAGGGGTTTGCTGCTCTCCTTCTTTCCCACAGCTGCTTCATCAGTGAACATGCTGGCCTACCTCTGAGCCATATTCCAATGCAGCTCATCTCTCCCTGCCACCCACTGAACCAGCTGCTCTGGGCCAGACATTATCACCTCATACCTCTGTCACTTTAACTGTCTCTTCCCTGGTCTCCTAGCTTCTACTCTCTCCTCCCCATAATCTGTTTTCTAGACAGCAGCGAAAGTTTTAAATGTCTCCTTCTTTTGTGGGGGTCGCGTGGGGTGGGGTGGGTACTGGGGATTGAACTCAGAGGCACTTGGCCATTAAGCCACATCCCCAATCCTATTTTGTATTTGATTTAGGGACAGGGTCTCACTGAGCTGCCTAGCACCTTGCTTTCGCTCGAGGCTGGCTTTGAACTTGTGATCCTCCTGCCTCAGCCTCCCATGAAAAACTTGTGGAGAATTTTTCATCCAACACCGAGTACAACTTTAACTAGTGAGATGATCTAACTAACAACTATATTTCATGCCAAGTCAAACAAATTTGTTCATTCTGATCACCTTCCGTTGGGAAGTTTTCCTTTTTTAAAGAAAATGAATGAGTAGATGACCATGCAGAGAGACATGGAGAGCAGCACACCACTCACAAACAGGAACAACTTACGGCTTCAGACTTGGGAGGCACTGGAGGTGGAGGTAGGGCAATTTCTGAAGACTTCATTGTGGCTCCCAGAGTCTCAGGGACAGGAAGAGGAGAAGTTGCGCATTTGGACCGGGCAGATCCTCTCGACGGGTCACATCTGCTCTTCTCACTCAGAGAGCGAGTGAGAGGCTGACGGATGGGCTTGCCTTCCTCCAGCCACAGCTCTTCATAAGGAAGTTCTGACTTCCCTGGGACACCTGCTGATTCTTCGGTAGCTTCTGGGAAAAGGTAGTCACTCCCACTGTCACCAGAGTCCTGATAGGGCAGGATGTCATGAGGAAAGGGGGCCCAGTCTCCCCCCAGGTCCCTGCAGCCATGAAGGTTCACTTCACTGTTGCCATGGAGATTGTTGCCATACACACAGACTGAGAGCCGGTGGAAGGACTGGGTGAGCTCATCCCGGGCATAGCTGAGGGAATTGGGCACGTGGTTGTGGCCAGAGCACCGGCCCTTCTTGGGGCTCTTGCAGTCCTCATTCCAGTCTGTCTTCACATCCCGGACAGCCCGTGAATACTCATCAATGTCAAACTGCTCTTGGCAGATACCCAGCCAGTGATGGACCAGGGTTTCAGGCCATACCTCTCCCTTTACCAGGTGTTCTGGGAGGCTGAACTTGGGGACGGTCAAGTGCAAAGGGAAGTGCATGGGGAGGATCTTGTTGTTCCGCAGCACGCAGCAAACCACCACCGTCTTGGTCTGGATGTTCACAAACTTGTAGCGGTGCCCCTCTCGGATGAAGTGAAGGTCGTATGGGTTTCTGGGCGGAGGACTTGGGACAGTCACATTCACAGGAAGCCTGGTTTTCTCCACGATGTTGCGGATGGTGTGTTCCCCTTCCTGCATCTGAAGCTCCAGGGGGCTTCGGGTGCTGAACCTGCCCTTGCACTGGAATGGAAGGCTGATGCTTTCGTTGGTCCTGTGATTCATGCAAATGAGGCATGGCATTTTGCCTTTTCCTAGTTTGCTGATGGAATTGAGCTTCCCAATCTTTTTGAAGATTGTGTTAAGTCGTGACTTTTCCTTGAAAGTCTTTGCATAAAGGATTTCTGCCTGACCCATTAGAGTGAGTTCATCCCCAGTACACAGGGTGATGTTGTAAACTTCAGTGTCCTCATTGCACTCTCCTGAAGCCACCTATGACAAATAAAATTTCAGGTTGGTTTTCTTTAGTATATTCACACAAATAAGTAAAGAATCTTTTATCATGATACAAACACACACGCGCGCACACACACACTCACACACGAAACACTGTGCTTTAATACTAAATTTAGACAATTTCCTTTATAATGTTTTGTAATTTCATTTTTGGATGGTCAATATTTAGATGATTAACAAGTACCACTTTTCACCAAGATAATATTGGTTTATATTTTTAAAAATACCCCTTTTCTGTTCATCATCACTAGCAATCAGAGAAATGCAAATCAAAACCACTCTTCAGATTTCATCTCACTTCAGTCAGAATGGCAGCTATTATGTATATAAACAACAATAAGCGTTGGTGAGGATGTGGGGGAAAAGGTACACTCATACACTGCTGCTGGGACTGCAAATTAGTGTAGCCAATATGGAAAGCAGTATGGAGATTTCTTGGAAAATTGGGAATGGAACCACCATTTGACCCAGCTAACCCTTTTCTCGGTCTATACCCAAAGGACTTAAAAACAGCATATACGGGGACACAGCCACATCAATGTTTACAGCAGCACAATTCACAATAGCTAAACTGTGGAGCCAACCTAGATGCCCTTCAATAGATGAATTGATAAAAAAGTTGTGGCATATATACACAATAGAATATTACTCAGCAATAAAAGAGAAAAAATCATGGCATTTGCAGGTAAATGGATGGAGATAGAGAAGATAATGCTAAGTGAAGACAGCCAATCCCAAAAAACCAAATGCCAGATGTTTTCTTTGATATAAGCAGGCTGATTCATAGTGGGATAGGGAGTGGGAGCATGGGAGGAACAGATGAATTCTAGATAGGGTACAGGGGTTGGAGGGGAAGGAGGATGCATGGGGTCATTAATGATGGTGGAATGTGTTATCTAAAGTAAAGGTATGAAGACACAAATTGATGTGAATATACTGTGTATGTAAACAGAGATAAGAAAAATTGTGCTCTATATGTGTAATAAGAATTGTAATGCATTCTGCTGTCATATATAAATAATAAAAGAAAAAATACCCCTTTTCTCCTTACACATGCAAAATTATTATGGAACATTATCTGTCTTTCTTAGTTGTAAATAATTCCTTCATGAACACCACTGCAGAATTTTTTAAAATTATTTAACAATTTACTATTGTTTTTAAAAATTTTCTAACTTTTTAAAAATTTGGAATTGAGACAAAGGATTAAAAAACTTCTTTTTTTTTTTTTTAAATGTGTGGTTCTGGGGATAGAACCCAGGGTCTCATTTATGCTACTTAGGCAAGCACTCCACCACTGAGCTACAATCCTAGCCCATAAAAAATGTTTCATTTCTCCATTAAAATTTTTTTTGAAGAGAGACAGAATTTTTAATATTTATTTTTCAGTTTTCGGTGGACACAACATCTTTATTTTATTTTTATGTGCTGCTGAGGATCGAACCCAGTGCCCCGCGCATGCCAGGCGAGCACATTACTGCTTGAGCCACATCCCCAACCCTCCATTAAAAATCTTTTAATACTTTATTTCCTAGTTATAGCTGGACACAACTTATTTATTTATTTATCTATCTATCTATCTATTTATTTATTTATTTATATGTGGTGCTGAGGATTGAACCCAGGGCCTCTCACGTGCTAGGTGAGCACTCTACTGCTGAGCCACAACTCCAGCCCCCATTAAAATTTTTTAATTATTTAAACTATTCATGTTCAGTGGAAAAGTCAGAAATACAAATACAAAAATTAAAAATTCTATACTATCTTGCATATAATCTATCAAAATTTTTATATAAATAGAAAAAAAGAAATGGTATCTACTGTTTCAGAGATAAATACCTATACACATAATTTTATTACCTGAGTTCCTAACTACAATCTGTCCATTTTCCATGTATATACTTCATTGATTATAGCAGTGATAATATATGTGTGTGTGTAATTCATATATCATGTATTCATATATGAATGTATATACATGTATTATATAAGAATGTGCCTTAATTTATTTTGACCAGTTTCTTATTATTGGACAGATGGGGTTTTTCCAATATTTAGCAATTATTTAGTATAGTAATGAACTTTTTCACAGTCCAGTTATTTCCAAAGGATAAGGTACCATAAGTAAAAATGCACAGACAAAAGCTAAGTATATACAGGAAAGGTGTAACATGTATTGTCTATTGCATTTCAATGTTATATTTATTTATACTTTTATCAGTTGATGAAAGTACCTATCTCCCCAAATTCGAGTAAGTTTATTTCATATTGACTAATTTGAAAAGTCAAGTCTGCATTTTGAATTTTTTATCTTCCCATAGCAAAGAATTATTCAGTTCAAAACTTAAACAGTTGAGAGTTGAGAAGTTGAGAAATGCTTATATAATTACTACTATTTTCTCCTAGTACTTTGAAGGTTTCATTTGTTAACTATTAAATTTACTTAACTGAATTTTCTTTGGTGGACTGTTTAAAGTAGGGATTTAACTTTATTTCTAAACAGTTTGAAGGCTGGTATACTTCCTAAATAACCATCCCTTTCATCACTGATTTGAAGTGTCACTTTTTAATCTATGCTAAATTTATTAAATACATACACTTTATGTTTATATATACTTGCATCTATTTTGAGGTCATTTATCCTAGTGATCTATTTTTCCATCATAATTATATTGCTTAAAATTCTATGCTTTTATCATAAATGTCCACATCTGAGAAAAAAAGCCCTTGCTTGTGATTTTTCTGACTAAAATATTTTTGGGATAGTCAGAAACAAGAGAAGCAAAGTCAAAAGTTAAACGACTGACTGACAAAAAGCATCTGCAAAATATAGCACAAAGAGCAAGTATCCCCAATGTATAAGAACCTTTTTAAAAATGAGGGCCAAAAATGCTGTAGAAAAGCCAGCAAAAGAAATGTAAAGCCAATTCACTAAAGAGGCACACCAGCTTTCATATCTATGAAAAGATGTTCGACTGTTCTCATAATAGGAGAAATGTCAATTAGAATCACACTGAGATACCATTTCTCATCTACCACACTGATGAGGCTGTGGGGTCACTCCAGAACTCCTGGCCATAGTTAGTGGGAATGCAACATGATACACCCCTGTGGTAGGGAATTTGGCAATACTCAACCTAAATATGCATACATTTATCCCTCCACCAAGCAACCCTACTTCTCATGATTTATCTTGATGATAATCTTCCACAAATATGAAAATATACATGTACAGGGTTATTCACTACAGCATTATTTATATTTGCAAAATACAGGAACTGATCCAAATAACCAAATACAGGAAACTGACTGAGTAAACTACAATATACACATATAATGGTCCCATGTGAAAAAGAATGAGAATAATGAGTGCAATGAATTGATGTGAAATGACTTACAGAATATATGGTTAAGTGAAAAAAAGCAAAAAGCAAAAAAGTCTATACAGTGGCTTTCTTAAGAAAAAAGTGAAAATTCGTGCATGTATTTTGTCTGTTTTTGTAAAAAAAGAAAAAAAGAAGAAGAAAAAGAAATACTGCAAAAAATAATGAAAATGGCTACTTATAGGAGGTAGGGGAGGAAAGAACCACATTGATGTTCTACATATATATTAAAAAATTACCAAGCTGGGTGTGGTGGGACATGTCTTTAATCCCAGCGGCTCGGGAAGCTGAGGCAGGAGGATCATGAGTTCAAAGCCAGCCTCAGCAAAAGTGAGGTACTAAGCAACTCAGTGAGATCCTGTCTCTAAATAAAATACAAAAATAGGGCTGGGGATGTGGCTCAGTGGTCGAGCGCCCTCGAGTTCAATCCCTGGTACCCTCCTGCCAAAAAAATTTTACAATGTTCAAAAACAAACAAACTTAACTCTGAATGCAAATGGAAACAGATGACTCAAACTGTATTTTAAATTAGTAAAATAACCACTTTGGGAACAGAAGTGGAGGAACAATCCAGTAACTTTGGAATCCTTATTCTCTGACCACATAGTGCCCATGCCAGAAGACTACCTTTGGCAACATAATGCTGGTAGGGGAAAAAGACCAATAAATATGGTGTTTCTGTTAGTAAACCTGTTTTTCACAGGGACATGGTAGAGTGTGAGTCAACTGGATGTGTATCATAGGAATGAAGGAATGAGTCAATGTGTTGAAAGTTACAGTTTTCACTGGGGAAGAAGAAACAGAAATGTGAAATGGGACAAGGCAGGAGAGGCAAGATAGAACTCTGTGGGGTATCAATATTAACTTACAATTTTCAGAAACTGTACACACTGGAACATACACATATAACATCTTTGTCTTTCTAAGCTACTAGAAGCTATGGCTCTTAGTATCCCCAATTCAGTGCCCAAACCACTCCCCATCAAAAGGAACTGGGGCTCCTTGAAGAAATGACTGATTCCAGCAGTCGGGCAGGAGAGACATAAGATGAGCTTGGAACATTTTGTTGTGCCAGAAAGTAAAGTGCTTATAAGTAATGTGTCAAGAGAACACAGGAGCCAGCCTGAATTGGCTCCCACTGGCAAAATCTGGGACAAACTGGGCATCACTATAAACATACCATAATGAATTATAATCTACTGAATAAAATAGGAATGTCTAAGTCTCTACTGACAGCCAAAAGATTAATGAATGAAAAATGGTGGAAAGGAGGAGGAGTGGTAGGATTAGAAAATTTTGATGATGTAACTGTCATAGTAAAGGCTAGTTTTTTTTGTATAAAAATTTTTTCATACTATTCTTGCAATAATTCTTTAAGATGCAAGTGATATGCATGGCTTTAAAGAATCTCCCAGAATATTTATTCACTGCAAGGAGGAAAAAGTCAATAATATAGAAAATAAATTAGACAACTCCTTGGTAGGGTGATCAAATTTAATACCATTCAAGTGATGTATACCAACAACCTGAGATACTCACAAACTCATGGAACATTCCAGCCAAGACTGTATTATGAAATCCTATCATGAGAAA